CTAAAACAACTTCGAAACATATCACGGTTGTTAGTCCTTCAATATATTGTTACTCCCAACCACAGCGACCAAAATCATATTTAAAACTTTCTTTTCACGACCTTTATACTCCTGTCATTGATACTTAAGATGATGTGGCTTTATTTTTTGGATGGCTATTAGCTTACATCAATAGGACAGAAAATTTGATTACCAAAGCCCGCCCATCTGTAGACCAAATTCATTAAACAACATGATACCTCAAAAAAACGAAATTCATTTTTCCGGACATGTGAGATAAAAATGAATGCCATATCAAGAAACAGTTTTTTCTTTCAAAGACCAAAGAACCTTACACATGTTAAGGTTCCTACAGCTCTGAATGTGCTGGCTGTTCGGTTGAATTTCCCACATTAGATGAAATATGCAACGTAGGCCTGCTGAGCAAAAAATCAAGTATTGTTTTAGATACAACAATCCAGCTGATCCTGGGTTTCAACTACATCCAGGAAATCATTAACATAACCAACAATGTAAAATGCTGTGGCACAAATCTTTTGCTTTCTTTCTACTTTTGATCCACTTAATAATCTCCTTATCACAAAACTGTAAAAGGTGAGTTATTCCAAGACAATCTTTGGCATAAATTCAAATGCGAATTTCGGAAACTGTGAAAATTCCTTTGAAGCATTTTTGAACTGTCTTGTAATGGATAGAATACCAAAACAATAAATAAAAATGTGGAAAACTTAAAATTGGGACTGGGGTATGTTAACAAATAAAACCTTAATCTGAAGCCAGGAGGTATCACGTTTTTCGAAATGATGTTGCTGAGGTGGTTATGATGCAGACATCCAACAGAATAGAAGAAATGGAAGAAAGGACCTGTGAGAGCAAAATTGAAGGGTGGATCTGGGTTATGAGTACATCCCAGCATTCCCTGCTAGTCTGCCACTGCTACAAATGAAACCAACATCAAACTATGCTATCAATGAATGTTTTGGGTCAAAATATGGATTATCAGATGAATGAAGAATATGATATAACTGATTATAAGGGTCCAAGGACTAGTCACAATAACACTAGCCAAGCTAGATCACTGGCATATTCAGGGCGCCTCTTTTGATAATGAAAAACATCCCAAAACCAACCAGATAATAAAAAACGTTCTTTATAGGATTTATTGCCAACTAACAAAGCTTGAGAAACAACAAGATAAGATTCACCTGCCTACAAAATACAGCAAATAGGTGCTATATGGAAGTTTAAATGTCTAGTGGCTAGCAAAAAGATCTTTATGATGAAAATGATAAAATAATTCATAAAAAGGGCTGGATTTTTATCTGTGAAAATCCTTACTCTACCCTCATCATACATTTAACTACTGCTTGTACAACAAAAAGGCTCTCCAGAGCTTGAATTTGAATAAAATCGAAATAAATATGCAGTGAGCCTGCTACAGAAGTCACAAACAGGGGCGTTGCCAAAAGGGGAGGTTTGGAGGGGTGCTGTACCCACCCCAACACTGTGGCATGGCAATTGAAGGATTTTTGCCAGGCAAAAGAAGTAATTTTTGTACTCTTCCTGTAACCTTTTTGCAACAATTGCAATGTATAAACATTTCTGTATTAGTTAACTTTCAAATTATCACTTTCAATTGCAATGTATAAACTTTCAAATTATGGCACTAAAGTATGAAATTTGAAACAAAATGCATAAAACAGCATAAAAGAGTAAGCATCTTTTGATAACACCCTCTAAAGAGTGTGACACACTCCTTTTGTCAGTGAAAATTCATCCTTTACCCCTCCAAAATATTTTTTGGCTTCACCCCTGGTTACAAATTGTCTAGAGTACCATCAGCATGGCCATTCACGCACAAAATTGAACTAAACTCAGCTAGAGACCTTGCTGGAAGTGCATGGAACACACACCAACTTCATCACTATCATAGAATGTCAGCATGGCAAATCAAAATAGCAAACATGACACCATTTTAAAACATCAGGTATGAATATCTCAGCCAGGTGAGAAGATTTTCACCCTAAATATACTCGTGTAGCAGTTGAGAACATTTTCAGTGACAATACTGGAGTTACCAAAAAAGGGAGCAATTTTGGTATACATGTAATAATATTTGGCACCTAGCCATATTTGGGAGATTAAATTGTTTCTAATAATAGTCTAAATCTTCTTACATGAAAAACTCCCTGTAAAAACACAAGACAGTAATTTACAGAAAACAGATATACCATAGTTTTATATACCATATCTGAATAGCAGAACAACCAACATGACAAACAAACTAGGTGGGGTTGAAGCAAAAAATATCGTAAATTATGGACTCTTTAAAGATTGGAGGATTTGTTCCAAGTAGAAGAAAAATTTAAATGAAAAAATCCATAAAGTAAATGTTTCCATTAATGCAATTATTCTTATAAACTAGAAAATTATCTGAACCTCATCTGACAGGTTTAAAATAAAAGGATGAGAAGAAATTTGCAGAAAGTTTCATAAAATATTTTCAATAGATAAAAAGTTCCCTCATCCTTCATTACAAACAGCTTGCTTCTTGTAATTCAGCATATCTTGCATCATTTTTCATGATGGAAGATTGACCTCCATAGAACAATTAAACTTCAACCACAAACATAGCATTCAGTATTTTCCTTGTTTTAACAAAAGATCCACAGTACCCAAAAGGCACAAAAGATTGGCAAACTGAGTCAAAAAACTTAATTCTATAACAATTAATGAAATTAGCCTTTTTACAAAACCATTCATGTTCTGAGGAGGTTGATAATATTGGCTGTGAGTATTTTTCACATGCTGTGGTCATGCAGGTTAACATGGGTTATTACAAAGCTACAAATCTTAATTTGCATAGACCAAGAATGGGGATTGACAGACTGAAGGACTGTCACATGCAAATAATTTCTCACTGAAAAATTTCAGTTTAATTATCCTTGTCATCTAGCAGAAAAGGTGATTGTAAGCATTTAAATTTGGCTTACCTGTGTGCTGTCATCTCCACCACATCTTGCATTAATCTGTCCATACATTTTTCAGGACCACTTAGGCACCTTGTACTGCTCTGCATGAGTGCAATGTGATTGAACAGCAAAATATCTCGTGCATTTCCAACATATTCGAGCTTTTTGTATCGATCATCTCCCTCTAAATGAGCATATATCTCCTTCATTTCTGTCTCACTTGGCCTACGATTGGAGTCTAATTTCATAAACTTCGGTGCTGCCTCGAACAATAATTCTTGGAACTCTACCTTTGCAGCCAATGTTATTTCTTGTAGATATTTCTCAAATATTTCTTTTCTTTCATGTTCGTCGAGTCCTTTATATGATTCCTCGTTCGACAGCCACAAATATGCATCACTCCAACTCGTGCCTGGTCTAATTTTTGGCGTAAGTTCCAACAAATTCCGAAAATCAGATTTCATGCGAATTTTTTTGGCAGATTCGATTAGTTTTTTCACGTGCCTATCAAAACAAGCTCGCGACCTTTCAAGGTGTAAAATGTCAACAGGGATTCTCCGATCTGAATTATTTAGTATTTCCTCTCGATCATTCCAGTGAACATCGTTGGGTAAATAACGAAAACGTTTATCGAATAACTTGTGATTTTTTATTGCCTGTAAACATTGATCCCACTTCCAGTCGTAACTTTCAATCATTTGAAGTGTGGGGAGAAGTTCGTCGAAGGCCTCAGGAAGATCGACTAAATACTCGTTCAGCTTTTTGTCTTCGTAATGTTGTTTAATTTTCAACACTTGTTTCTTAAAAACTTTTTCAGCCTGTCGCGATCCCGCCAAATAGATATAACGATTAAAGTCTTCATTTTCTTGCTGGGAAGTTTTGAACTGATCCCAGGGTATCACAGACTCAAGATCAGTTATTGTGCTTTTGACCAAGCTTTGGTAACCATCAAATGCCTTGGCAAGAATCTCTTTATTTGTAAGAACCCCATCGCTATAATGAACAATTCTTGATCTAAACCTTCCTTTTGACTCGATCATTTGAGCAAGAATTGCGAATCCTAAATCAACATTTATATTTTCAAAAGCAGAAGTCTCGATCAATGGCACGGACAACTTTTTCGAGTGCACGAATTTATGAGCTTGTGATAGTAAGGTTTGATCAACTTCGTCACATTTTGTCGCGACCACAACAACTGGTTTTTTGGTTTTAGTGATACCGCTCAACGCTGATGACAACAAGTCTTCCTGAACCTGTACTTTTGTTGCTTGTTCAGAAATATTTCCACTTACATCATAGACACACAAAAAACCATCGACGGCAAATTTCCCATCCTTTTCAGGCATTCTTATTTGAGTGTAGTCGTTTTGAAGGGCAACTTGGTCTCTGCTTATATACATCAATTTTCCTGGTGAGGCCAGTTTTGTTATTGAACATCGCTTAAAATACGGTGGAAGCTGGCCACCTCTGGTTAACGGAGTATAAGATGCATCATCGAAAAATTCTGTTTGTTCAACAATGTTGAAAACACAGATACTGTCTTCAACGGATTTCGAGACACTGCCCCAGTACAAAAACTGATCATTATTTATAACGCTTCCACTGAAATCCGAAGTGCTGTAAACAGAAGAATGGTTGCCATAAAATTCATCCTCAGCTGGCCGAACGAATCTGTTGCAAAGACACGACTTCCCAACGCCATAAGCAGTTCTTTCTTCGTCGATGCCACTAAGACCTAGGACACATATGTTGAACGTCCTAGTGGCCTTGGATCTTTTCGCTTCGAGAGCCATACCACAAAGTTGCAGGCCATCAAACGGTAGTTATCCTAATTCTTTCGCTAACACTACATAGTTAAACAAACAAAACACCGTGTGTCACCGTCTGAATTCGAAAATATATATTATAATTGTTAAAAATGTAGAAGACACTCCTCTATTTTCATACCTTCAGCCGACTGCCTCAAGATGGCGGATCGATCACGTGACCGAAACATCCGGGAAGTTTACTTCTGAACAGACGTCATAGGCGTCAATAAAGAAAGTTGACAACATTTTCGGACTGGCCAACAAGCTATGTGCCAGCATCTAGGTTTACTTTTGGCTCATTTTCAGCAAAGGCATCCAATATGAAGTAACGCCTTTGGGTCAATATCGATTTCAAACAGTGGTCTGGGACTAAAACCAAAAGGTCTTTTTACACAGTATCGAGTGTTGCATTTTCAAGGCTTCATAAGTTTGAAGTAATGACAACGTCACTATGATTCATTTGAGCCAACTTTTACTTATTCCTGGAATGTCCCCGGGCCTTTCTGGCTTGTGGTTCAGAAAGAGATTTGTTCAGACAAGACTGCTCTGATTCCTGATTCTGATTCCTGATTCTGATTCCTGATTCTGATTCATGATTCTGATTCTGATTCCTGATTCTGTTATATACTGACAATCATATCATATAAACCATTTTACGGCCTCTAATGTCCTCACCCAAGACACTGATTTGCAATCTCAAATAAAGAGCTAGGTGTTCATCAAAGTATATGTTTTATCAAGTCATTATTATTGTGCGAAAGATGAAACATTGCATCTGACACAGCGCGTATCTCACTAGGAGAGAATGTGATCGTCTGGAATGAAATGTACAGGATCTTGCTTCGTCGCATAGATGATCTGCACAGAAGGAATTACTAATTGTCATTTAGCCAATAATCTCCATTGAGAGGTGAATTACAGTCACACAATGGTATGTTAAGTGTTAAAATTAATGGATATAGCCTTAATGACTACCTCATTCTCCAGGCAATAAAGGCTGTTGATGAAAATGAAACAAGAATGGATTATTGCATCACTGCTATGATCACAGCAATGGAAGCCCAATTCATCATCTTGAAGGATATGTCTATTCGAAGAGAAATGTAGCTATGAAAACGAAAAACATGTGTTTCAAAATTGGGCTTTTTCCTTACTTGCATTTTTCTTGTATTCCTATTGTTCGTTTGCGAATCATGCTATTTAAAGAGAAAGGAAATTTGCAATCCAGATTTCAAGTCATTCACATTTGCTTCAATATAAAATAAAAGGGCTTTAATCTTCTTCACGCAATGCTAACATGAAAAGCTTAGAAATCTGAAGGAAGCAAGATTCCTTCTTCGGCGTATATTATCAAAAATTTTGCCTTCGGAATTTTGACAATACAAAAACTGAAAGAAAGCTAAAAAGCCTATCTTACTCGCAGAAGAACAGTCGAATCTGCTTGATCACAAGGCAAACATTTTGTGACTCAGAATGGCAGATGCTCCATCAATGTCTGCCAATGCTGTGTCTTTCAATGGACATAATGTAATATCTAAGCTGCATATTGAGAAGTATTCTTTTAGACTATTGGCGATACATAGGCGAAATTGAATAGTTCTAAAAAGTGCATTTTTGTTACGTCATCACCACAATATTCGAATACTGATCAAAGGCTAGCATTCAGCAAATGAAAATTTTTCTTTCAAGGCCTAGCAAATAAAATCACTTCGATCTTTATGACGTCAAAATATCATTTCAAATGATCTATATATATATTCAACCTTTGGCCAAAGCTTGCGGGCTTCGTCGTAACAGATTGTTCTAAATATTTGTTTGAAAAACCTCTCCTATCTTTAATCTATAATCTATTAAAAGGATTATTCAGCTTCTGGACAGACTAAGTGAGAGCAGATTGGCAATCTCGGCAAAAATCAAGACGTCGAGAGTTGAGAATGAAATGTTCAGAAATGAAACGCCATGTCCAATTTTTGTTTTTCCAATATAAAGAACAACGGATAAAAGCAGATGGGTATTATTTTTACGGTTGCAAGGGAAGGGATGGGTTTGATTTAGGCTTTAAGAAATTTTGATTTAGGAGATCTTCATACATATACATATATATATATTTAGAAATTTGTCTTTTGATACTTCCGTAGCACAGTGCTCAATACGTTAGCACGTAGAGCGTGATATATCATAGATTGAAGAAAGTAAAACTACATGGTTTATCTCTACAAGCCTGTTTCGTGAGTAACTCACTCTTCAGGAGATGACCCTATATATACCCTATATGACCCTATACTCTCCTAACCCTATATATATATTTATATATATAAAGAGATATTGATGATAGAAATACCTATATGTCACTTAAGATCATTGATAGTAAATGGAAGTTGATATGTAAGCAAAAAATCTTGCCTTTCCTCTTACCGCCAAATAAAAACATACGAGTAGATTCAATCAAAGACCGCGGAGCATATTACGGATTGAGGGGGGCTAAAAAGTTTTTTTGGGGGGAGGCTAAACATACAAAAAATCAAGAGCAGGGCAACTTTTGCAATGTTTTTAAGTACATTTTGGAAAATACTTTGGGCTAGGCCCCTAAACCGGTCCCTGGATTTAATAATTATCAAAGACGTCACGTGATAAGGAAAGAGGAAAGGAATTGGTGAAAAATATAAGAAATTGAGGATTTTTTATTTAGGATTTTAGCATCAAATGCTTTAAAATGGAGAAAAAATCAATAAAACAAAGCACATCTTGCCATTGCTGTATTTCATCAACTAAAATCAAATCTTACATATGAGCTACAATATTACAATGCTATAGTTGCTATTTACACATGAAAAAATACTTTCTAGGTCATCCTTTAGCCGATACTGGAAATATATGGATTGCTAGTTTATTGATTATTAAAACAAAGAAGATGCAGTGTTTATGATATACTTTGTGTTGGGTTAGCGACAAGGACATCACTTTTTCATTATCAAGGCAATGCCTGTTATTCGCATATGTAAGCACTCTTCTGTTTGCCTATAATGGATAAAAATTTATCCTTGACAAAAGTGTAGTGGTTGAGCCCCCTTGCTGATGCTAAAAAGTCAATCCCCCCTTAACTGTTGATTGTAATACACTTTCTGAAGCAAATTTGCAGGAGGGGCAGTTGGTAGTGGGGGCGCTGAAAAATTTCAAAAATTGGTGACGAGAGTACGCTGTATATAACAATTTTAAGATCCATTTTCAGAATAGACAACATAACTTTGAGTAATCCTTGACTCAAATTAACCTATCGGTCTCAGAAACTTTTTCACCTGATTCTCAATTTTCAAAAGGGGCGCACAATTTCCAAAAAAGGGGCGCCAGACTTGCTTCAACTCGTCGAGGGAGGGGCAACTGCCCCTAGTTGCCCCCCTTAAATCTCCCACTGATTATACCGCTGGTTCTTATTTTTTGTCTCCCCTGTCGGTTTGTTCTACAGGAACCTCTGGGTCCGTGTTTTGTTGTTAAAAATAAAAATAATGATCCCCTATTAAAGTTCGATAGTTACTCTACCGATGGTAAATCGATGTTCTATCTTTACTGATATTAATCGTGAGAATTTACAGGCGGGCCGTTAAAATACTATGCTACAGGGCTCTTCTAATACTTTTATCATTTTGAGAATTCAACCTGATCATTGACACACTAAGTCATGGGAAAAAGTCTCTTTTCCTTTCGAAAGCCTTTCTCGGCCTCTGCACCTGCAACCCACGCACAAATCCTTTTTTGTTTTTCTACCGGGTCATTCGCAATCACAATCAGTCGGAAAAAGTGCCAAAAGATCCTTCGCAACAATAACAACAGAAAAACATAATATTATACTGAGAAGCATCATTGCTTGGCTGGCATGACTCATCGGAGATGTGTTATCCACTGGGTTGAAGGTTCCAAAGCAGAGAAAGGATCAGAATAGCCCCTTCTTTATTTACCAAATCTGAGATATATTTGTGCTAAGGTGCATAAAGAAACGCATGGGCTCCGACACACGTTCGAAAGGGGGGGGGGGGGGAGGAGAAAATCTAACACCGAAAACGAACAAAAATTGAAAAAAGCTCTCTTGTGTTGCAAAAAAGTGGGAGGGGATGGAAATACAGTTACCTAAAACTGTAATTGGTAGGGGCAGCTTAACGCCCTTCCCTCTACTGTCGTTCGGCATTTTAATGATCGAGGAAAAACGCTTCTCAGAAACTATTGATATAGAAACTGGGACCCGCCAAACCCACTATTTGAACGAATTTGAGTTTCGTAGTTATAGTGGAAAACTCGTGCTAACGCCTAAAAGACCTGATACTCAAAATTTTTAAGAAACTGAGAAAAGGAGAGAGAATAAGGCAATTATTTTCTCGATTAGCGTGAAGGGATACGCATCCATGAAGGTAACCAAGCAATGCTCTCTCCTGCTTGACTGGATAGGGATAGAAGATAATCAAAAAATCCACTGGGCAACCACCCCTTTATTAAGAAGACCCTTGCTGAAAAAGTACTAAAAATATCATTTAAAAATCAAATGACCCAGCAACAAACCGAAAGAGATCTTCAAGTGGGAAGAAGCACCTCAAAATAATTATGTGCCACGCAAACTTTAATTTTTTGGCACGAAGTATTTAGAAATATTTGCAGAGCAAAAAATATCCTTTTTGGTTTCTAACGCCTCTTCAAAGACTACCCTTGATATCTAGGTGGAGATTAAAATAACGATAAGAGTGAAATCCAAATTGTTCTTTGGGGAGAGGAGATGGCTGAACTAGCCTTTGAAAAGTGACGTTTAGGCCGTGATTGTATATGGTTTCAGATCAAAGAATGCTAGGCATAATCCTTTCAATTAAGAGTAAACGCAGACTGACCCCTTAATATAAGAACAGGAGTTCTTCCCCTTGTATTGAATGGTCAAGTGTCGTACACAACAACACCAAGTTACCAAGAATACATAAACTGTCTTTATCATTCTGATGCATTAAATGACACCAGAGCCAGTGGCGTACCCAAGGGGGGAATAGGGGGGTCCGGACCCCCCCAATTTTCTAAAATATGATTCTCGAGATGTGTCTAAAAACGATGTAAAACTCATTGGGGGGGGGGGGGTGTAGTATACTGTATGCTTTTGTAGATAACAATTGTAAAATACTTTGCTATTTACCGTAGCTAACATGAATCAAATAATGGGTGAAAATTTTGCAAAAAGGGTGTTTCCCCGCATTTCCAAGTGTTTGAAGGGCGTGGTCAAAAAAAATTATGGGGGCTGAGCCCCAGACCCCCCGCTGCTTCAGCCCTGGGTACGCCACTGACCAGAGCATCAATACAGTATGTCAAAACTCCAAGACTGTCCCAAAATGACTAACCACTAAACATTTTACAGTGAAAGACGGTTAAACGAAGAGGCACAATTAAATGGCTCTTTGAGCATAAACTAATAGAAATATGACACATAAGTATCAAAATGTCCTTTTGGCTCAAATGAGAAAAATAACCAAGATCTATGGGAAGCTATTTGGAAAGAAATTTATGTACAGGATCTATTAGCAAACGGCATTTGGGAATAGCCGTTTGGAATTCTATTAAACCCGAGAAAACAATGTATTTTAGATAACAGCATATCAAGCACTGGAAAAGTGGTTCGGAGTGGGTAGGGGCTGGAGAAGTTGGGCAGTTATCAAAACTTGTGTAATTTCTTACTAACAGTTGCTGGACACCTGGCACCAAAATACCTTGCATGCTAACCTGCAGCTGCAGATTGTTTTGTGACCCATAGATCATGCCAAACTAACATTTACAAAGAACCCAATTTTCGTAGAAATTCAAGATAGTTCACTCGGCCGTTCATGCCTTTATCGAGCTCTGTGAGCATCTGGAAATTCTCTTCTGGGTCAATATCCACATCGCAAAGCTTGAGGACTAAGGTGAACTCTTGAACGGCTAGGTATCCATGTGCATCTTTATCAAGCTTCTTGAATGCACGTTGCAGCTGCTTCAGATCGCCAGAGAACTGGAAGACATCGAAAAAGAGATTAACATGGTATACAATCGAATGTCTACATACACATTAATTTTGCAAAATCTTGCTAAGAACCTTAAAATTTTTGTTAACAATTGTACCTAAAGACGGTGTTTCCCTTGTTTCCCTAGTTTTCTGAGAAACTGAAGGGCATAGTCGGAGAAGGAGCTTTGCGAATCCCTCCTGGGCTGGAGCCCGCTAATGACGGCCACTATCCCATTATCCTATTGCATACATGGGCTCCGACAAAGGTTGAAAAGTGGGGGGGGGGCCAAGGGAAAATTTAACACCCATAACAAAAGATTTTGAAAAAACTCTATTGTTTTCCAAAAAAGTGGGGGGGGGGGCAAGGCCCCCCCTTCGTCGGAGGCCCTGGCATAGGTAATTACGTGGGGGAATGCAAAAATACTACATGTCATAGTCCTGGGCTTGTTCTCCAAAAACGCTTTGGGGTTGGGCCTACTGTAAAATGTCTAAAGGTGTCTAACATTTTCTTAAGATCAATTTTCATCTCATTGTCTTTATTACCTTGACAGGCTTGCGGCTTATTTGAATCAATTATGTAATTTAATCGAACATAAGAAAGGTGAATCGATTGTACCATCAAATATGAGAAGGTGAAATTCTGATTTACAATGATATTTTTTCAACTAGACTAGAAACAAATGAAGACATGACCCCATTAAGGGGACGAGGCCAGAAAGTCACCCGATAGTCGCTCCAAAATAGTGTCTTCATAAATCTTTTAAGAAAAAATAATGACAACTTGCTCTGATCGTTGTAAATAGTCTATACAAGCATGGAGATTTACAAAATAAGTGGAATCGTGTTATTTCAATCCTAGTTAGGCATATAATCAGGAAAGAATCATAGTTCTAGGTACTGAATTAATGAAAAATAGGATTTTTCTTCAACTGGACAGAGTGAATATCCATACCCTTGCAATTATGTGACTAATCTTCAAAATTCATTGTGGTCACAGCAAACAAAAATTTATGAAAACCCCTCAGTATAGCTATTTGACCTGACCACGCAAGACGCTACTTTCAGACATATCAATCAGTGTCTAGGAGAATCTCTATGAGAATAAACAAATGGCTAGGTTATTGATACTCGGATTCGAGATTCGAGAACTGAAGGAAATCTGAATTTCATTCACCCTTAGGCCCTTTTCATCCCTGATATGAGATTGTGCAATGTGGCTTGAAATCGAGGTTTATCACTAATCCACCGCAGAGGGACCGAGGAAACACGAGAAATCCGATGCGATTAACTTTTTTACGGCAAAATTGGAGCGCAAACCAAACTGCAACGCAAGGGTCTGTTGGGCCATCACTGTAGACGTCAGAGGGATAAACCTTAATCCCATGATAGCTTAATAAAGCGTCTCTTCCAATCTTAACTTTTCTATGATAATATATTTATAGGTCCGATAATTCTATATGGACGTTGCCTGCCATATAAAGACCAGTGGAATTTTTTAGGGTGTTCTGAAAAACGTATTTGACAACATGCTTAGATAAAAATGCGCAGGAGCTGATTGGTCGCTTTGAATGTAGCAAGCATGTGTCCAGAACAGTTGCTTGGTAGCTTGAAAAAGGAAGTGAAAATTGTATTCACCATGCGCGGAAACAATTAAGAATTTGTCATTCAAAATACCATCTTCGAAGATCAATTGAACTCTTTAGCAATCCAAACATTATTTTAATCTGTATCCAGACCTTTTACCGTCAGTACGTGGAAAAGGAAAAGTTTATTGGGCTACGCTCTTTGGACCCTGCATCGTTGGGCTACGCTCTTTGGAGCTTTGCATCGTTGAATTGAAAATATTGATTGTGAGCGATGAATTAGATTTACTTTCTCATTATGCTTTGGGGGGGGGGGGGGGGGTGTTTTTAACCATAGATTATCACTTTGCAATGAAATAGCATTTGGACTCGAAATTGAAATAAAATTAATCACAACCCAGACTATTTGCTCCAATCCCTCGATCCATTGTCAAAGGTCATGATCACAAACTAATAACCGAAAAGCGTTTTAAGGCCAGAGGGACTCTGGGCTTTCCTTACTCCTATATGAGTTTGCTATTTTAAAGTATGATAAACTCTGCCAAGACCAGATTAAACACTGCTTAGTTGTTGGGATCTTTTGCTTTCGTCTAACGTATCCAGCATTTTCGTTATACTAACGTATTCATGTCTTTGTGGGATTCCGCTGTTGTCCTTTGTGTAAGCTCTTCATTTTCGTATGATAAATATTGCTCTGTTTAGGCCAAACAAAGCCCTTGCCTAAATCTTTCAGGCAAAGGGCTTTACATCAAGTCGTTTGTTTACTAAAAACTAATAAGGATTAACTTATGTGTATATCTTTAAGATTTAAGTACAAACATATTCTAGTGTTGACAAAAGCCTCTGGGTAAGGTATCCAAAATTGCTGATTAAATAGCTATGAATTTCAGTCTGCATCTTTATGGACTGGATAAAAGGACAGGATTTGATTCATGTCCTAAAGGAGAGCATCTGCGTTCTCGTTTAATAGTACTGAGTTTTAACCCGAGTACCCTCTTTTCAAACACCTCTACAGCTATATGCTTAAAAAATGCAATGAAACTGATTGCTCAGTCGATGGTGAAATGCAATGATCAGCATTTTGCTCAGTTGATGGTGTATTTAGAAATGTCAAAATACAAAGCTAGGTGTTCCTGAGACCCTTTCAGAGGTTATGGTGGGAGCCTGTCGTTTTTATAAAGGAAATATGGAGACATCTCTAATTTTTTGTTGTGAACAGGGGAACATTTTGACAGGATCTCGAAAGATTTTGAGGAAGGGACATTAATTGGGAACAGGGATCCAAATTTTCTAAAGATTTTCAGGGAACACGGAAGCACAGACCTCCCTTAGGGGCTCGTTCGCTCTAACATTGTGACAGCAAAAGAACAACCAAGAATTCCAGAAGCACGTGGAAGGTACGAGGGGGGCTACGTCAGTTCAATTCGTCCCTTTATCGACTCTGCGATCGGTCTGCTGAAAGAGAAACAGTGGGGCAAAACAACGCAAAAATAGTTTAAAAAAATCTCAATAACCAAAGTTCACTCACCCTATTATGGATCTTCTGCGCAACAGATGCAAAACCTTTTGAAGCTCTTGGTGATACATTAATCTAAGGGAGTTTAAAAGAAGTTTAAGAATCAGCAAAACATCACGAAAGCTTAAAAACTGTTAAAAATAATACTAGCTATACAATGAAGAGAACTGAGCTGTTTCCATAAATGTTTCAAGGATATGACGACGCAGAAGAAGATTACACCCTATTATTACAGAAGATCCTCGCTAAAAAAGTTTAAGGATATCGCCTAAAAGACAGACACTTGTTGTAAATTGTTGAATAATGAATACTACCAATCAAAAGGATTAAGCAACGATGATGTCAATAAGAAACGACGACTACTGGCCTATTCTTTTGGAATAAACGAGACCTATTGGCTCTTGTAGACGAAGTCGGATGACAGTGTCTAATACTTTTTAACTTTTTTAATGTGTTGCGATGCCCTAAGGTTGTTTCCTAGAAAATGATGGGACACTTATACTAATCTGGTTCTAATTCTAATAAACATAATGTCTCCATGCCAAGAATTAGCAAAATGATACTCAATAAATAATTTCTTTAACTGATAGTATATTTTAAACTGGCGAACACTCTTCCATAGAAAACAGCTTCCCATAGAAACGAAAAATATATCTCAAAATTAAAATTTTGAAAAGCAATTGAAATTAAAAAGGCTTATAGATAAGAATAATATGAAATCTAAAGATTTGATAAACCACTGAAAAATAATGGATCAACATGTTTTGACTTCTTGTTCTTCTGTCTAGAGACACATTCTACTTGCTAATTGCTGTTGTAGTTTTTCTGTTAATAAGATTTTTTCTAACAGGAATAACCTAAAAATCCTATGTTTTCTGTGCCGCATTATAAAACAATCTAGCATATTGGCTAGCATATTTTACAGAAATACAGCATTTCTTAGATAAGAAAAAATAAAGATCTTCTTTATTAAAAAAAAGCTAAAAATGCAACTCGATGTTGGCCTAACTAATGAAATGAATAAATATTACTTTAAAAGACTTGGTAGCATTTCTATACCAACAGAAATAGGAAATTCTCTTTTAATTAAATTTTTCCGCGTTAACCAGCTGTTATTTTTACTTTTCTACTGAAGTATGAATCGGCCCAAACCATAAATTTTGTTTAACTTCGAGTGAACTCCGACAGTTTGAGACAATAAGATTGAACAATGAGACAATAGTCTATTGTCTAAAACAAAGAGGTTTTACTGGGGTTGGTTGAAACAGTTCTTTCAAACTTGAGATCTTCCCCAAGACCTTGACCAATTTCGCAAAATTTGTGAATTTACATCCATCAGAAACGCAGGGCTTAACTTGAAAACATGACTGTTCTGTCAATTTTAGACATTTCTCTTGATAAATGAATTTTCTGTTGGAAGACGGCATCAGAACTGTTCTAAGAACTTTTGTTCTTCAAAGTAATTGCATGCAAGAAATGATTAGAATTGAAAAAGCGTTTTGCTTTCGAATAATTTTATCTGAATTAGCTACCTTACTGGGTAAATACATTAGGTAAAGTCCTTAAAATAAACAGTGTTTTGAACAATTGAAAGTACATCCGTGGATGTAAAAACTGAAGGAAAGCGCAAATTGCTTTGAATATTTCAAGAAGTGTCAGTTTGAATAAGTCCATTGTCCTTTCTTGTTATCAACTTCTCTACTTACCAGATCTTTTGCTGGGTGGGTTAGAATGTTGGTCATGTTATTGCCTTTACGATAAACTTGTCGTCGAGACGAGAATGGCTTTAAAAATTCAACCCAACAGACACTAGAAAAAAGATAACAAATCATTTAGAATCAGCGAAATAAGTAAACATCTTTTTCAATATCATACTTTCAAGATGGCGAATATAAAATGCCTCTAAATACGCAAGATCAATTAAATGTGTTGCAGATTCGAATGAGATATGACCAAATGAGTACTGGCTCTTTCCTCGTAAAACCCCTAGTGCTGAAATTTATGCCCCAGACCAAATTTGTTTCACTTGCTTCATCTCAGCCAGTTGGAAACAGATTCAACTTATTTTGCCTCTTTAGAGGTATTACGTAGCTTCCTTTTAAGTTATGTTGTCAGAAGTCAAAGATTCTAAAAATGCACTTGCTATAATGTCACACTTAAGAACTCTTTAGTTACTTGTCATCAGGGTCATCCGGAGCTTTGTATGAAAATCATAAGCTAAGATTACTTGAACTGTCACGTGATAACAATAAAGACTGCTAATATCAAGTATAGTACCTTCCGTTCTTTTGGATATCAAATTTCTTACTCAGCACGTCACATTCAAAGTCTGTCAAATATATACATAAGCTTTGCAATATGTTCTGAAAAAGAGAGATTGATAAGATGAATTAGAAAAAGGAACCGGTAATTCAAAAAATAGCAACAAGAATGGCTACAATAGGAAAACTAATGAGCTGACTTCAATCCTATACTCCTAGGGTAAGGGTTATGTATTGTTGTATTAAGGATCAATTATGCAATGTAGACTTCAGCAACTCGGAAAGCTTTAACCTTATGCAATCAATACCTTTCTGGGATGAAACTCCCAAGTTATATTTATCTAACAATCTTTTGGTAGTACAAAACTTAAAAATAGCTTTGAAAAAAGCAAACATTTGAGTGCAATAAAGCTTGCCGTATGACACTCTTCAGAGTATAAAACATCAGAAGATCGAAAACTCTACGTTAGGAAATATATATACCCAGTTAGGCAAGCGGCATTGATTAGAAAACCTCAACAATCACATGCTCGCGTTTCTGATTAGCCTAATTTGAGCCACAACTGGGTATATATATTTTCTAGCGTGGAACAAAATTTTAGCACCACTATATCAAGCATTTTATTTCATTTCAATTCATTTCATATTTCAGCAATTAGTTAAAAATTGCATAAATATTAGGATGCTAATAATTAAGAAAAAAATAATTTTCAAGATATAATATCATTGACAAACGTTACATCATAGGTAGTTGAAAAAAAGCTTAAGGACATATGAGAATCACTCTAAAGAACTCTCGAACCATACGCCCTTGAAACTTACTGACCTGGTTAAAAAAAAGCTTAAGGACATATGAGAATCACTCTAAAGAACTCTCGAACCATACGCCCTTGAAACTTACTGACCTGGTTAAAAAAAAGCTTAAGGACATATGAGAATCACTCTAAAGAACTCTCGAACCATACGCCCTTGAAACTTACTGACCTGGTTAAAAAAAAGCTTAAGGACATATGAGAATCACTCTAAAGAACTCTCGAGCCATACGCCCTTGAAACTTACTGACCTGGAACTGCTCTTTGGTGACAAAACCAGTCTTAAGAGTATCAATATCATGAAAATGCTTTTGCAAAGCTTCCCAGTGCTGATCGACTTTCGATCTTAGGTTGTCTTCAATCATATCATAAGCACTGTTGAGCTTCTTTGAACGTAATTTGAAGTCACTGTCACCACGTTTTGGAGGAGATATCTTTGAGTTTGGAAATGCTGAAAGAGTTATAAGTACAAACGATAAACATGCGAGAGCTGAGATAAAAATAAGGTATCTAAAGAAGCATTGTTGTTTTAGCTGATCATGACAACGCATGTTGCTATAGGGGATTTTTGTGGTCTTGATAAAGTTAAAACTACAACAATTTTTCATTTAAGAAAAGCTACCATTTACAATTTTCTATTCAATAATAACCTTGTGAATTATTTTATCCTGGCAAATGTACATTAATTTAAAATGCTGGTCAGGAACTGGCTTAGTGAAAATAAATGCACGTATTCAGTCTCCGAGCAATAGTTTCTACAATGACAAACTCTTTGATTGATTCAAGCAAGTTTCCATAACTGTACATTCTTTTTTTAGTACTAACGTTACTAAAGATTGTTACTGATATTTGACTCTCAATTACCTGCAGACTTAAGGCGAAAGCTGAAATGTCTGACAAACTGCATGAATTCAAGATATCCTTTATGATCTGTTATCAAAGTGTCCCATAGCCTCTTTACTTCATTTTTGCTCAAATTCAGTCCAAATCTGTAAAAGTAACAGCAAGATCAAACAACTTAACAAATGCTCACCAGTTTATAACTAAATGTTATTTCTACACTAATATTTTGTCAAAGCACTGACGGCAAGAAACAATTTCAGCGTCTGAAGAACAATTTAGTGAGATATCTACTGAATAATTTTCTTATTCCAAATTTTAAAAAAATAACAATTTAACGAATATATGTTTGCAAGGCTCACAAGCTTTAAAATTTATAATTTCATACCTACAATAGCATTGTAAGTAAGAAGCAATGTTGCAGGGCGAATGGTTACCCAACAAAACAAAGAAATTTGTAATAACGGTTGCAGAAGATATTCCATACATTTCAAATCGATACATTTTCTTAAAAATCTCTTGAAAATGATCGAGAATTCAAAAATAGCAGAAAAAAGCCTTAGGTAGTCGGATTAAATCAGCTGGTAACCAGGCAAGAATTATTGGGTGCACCATTATTTGAGAAAATAGTAACAGAATAGATTTTTTATAAGAAACAAAAAAATTTTATATGTTTTTTAGGGAAGGGGTTGATATGTCTCTTTATCCAACTCTACTTGGTATATGCCCACATCGTACCTTTGTAGCCTCAAAACCTCTATAGGCAAAGCCGATTCTAAGAAATAATTTTCCTGTGTATCAAGACAGTATTATGTTTAATTTGTACAAGACAATTGAGCAAGTTTTATTTACCATCAATGAAAATAAATGAAGAACTTACTTTCTCAAAAGTTTGATTAGTAAATCGGGATTTAGTTTCTTTGAATTCAGTTCATCAAGCTCTTGGAACTCCTGAATGAAATAATATGCAGGTTCAAAAAAGGAAATATCTAGAAATTTATAATTTTTATATTCTAGCAAAACATTCATAATTCATTTATTTTATCTTTGTCTATTCTCGGTGCGTTCCGGTGTTCCTTGTTCAAATCAGTTATTAGTTAGAAGAGTCAAAAAGTGTATTTCGTACATATACATAATATAAATTAAGAGGAAGATAGAATCTTGATAATTAACAAAAAAGATTAATCTCAAGCAATGATGCAAAAACATACTCTTTCAATTTCTTGGTAGTTCTGTTTAACAACTCCTCTAATCAAAGAATAAAGTTCTTCTACACTTCTGCCTTCTTGGCTATCGTAAGAATCTTTCGAGGCACGGCGCGAGTTTGACTTCTCCTCCCTTGGAGTCGGTGGAGGAATTTCATCAACAATATCGTTTACGTCACGCAAGTCTGCTACTGTCGATTTTGCATCGAACAGGCTTTTTGCTTCCCTATAAAAACGATTAAAATTAAATGGCTTTTCATCATTTTCAAAACCCGTAACAAATAAGTTGAAACACCGAACAATTAGGGTTGATTCTTTTGTTTTATTTCTTTCTCGAGTAGTGCTGCTTTCACCCCCTTCTCTTTAGAGCAATGTTGGTAGTTTAAACACATATGATACAAATCACATAATAAAATGTCTTTTCTTAATATATTTGTATTTGTTGCTACCTAGCATCCGAAGGTTGTTTTTAGGACACTAAGAAGCTTATGCTTATCGAGCAGTGTCCTGGTCCTTCCTCTCGATGTGACCATACCTCGTGATTCCTATACCTGGAATTACAGAGAGCTGGCGACTCTCCTCACTCTGGGTGAAAGTTTGACCATGCCAGGGACGCGAACCACGGACCCTTGGGTCTGTAGTGAGCGCCTCTAACAACTGAGCCATCCTCGCACCTGATGTCTAGTCCTTAATCTTCTACATCGTTTTGAAGAAAATCAACAATGTTCTCAAGAGGAGAAAGGGGTGATTGTATTGGCCACTAAATGATGCTTGTGTTTCAAAACTTTTAACAGAGATTGCCAAGATTAGTTTTCAGGTGAAAAGAATCACTTTCAAAGGAATTTTACTTTCTCGAAACATGAATGACATCTCAAGGAAACTTGATGATATGTATTTATTTCGAATTCCGTGGGCGGGGATGTGGTTGGAATGAAGAAATGCGAAGAGATTCAAGCGAACAAATATAAAGGGCAAAGGTACCAAACATATTTAGACTAGACATCGATCAATCTTTAAAGAGTTAATCATAGATATCATCATAAATTAATATTATATCTTCATAGAATTAAAAACAATTTAGATATTAATTATGAGTTTGTAGACAATGTTTTAGACAAAGGCTCATTTCTAGGTAAACTTAAGTCTTTATCAGAGTTTGACACAAACTGACCTAATTAACACTAAACAAGCTATATTTTAAAGATGCTTTCGAAACTCAATTCTGTTTAGTTTGACAAACTTATCTTGAATCATTCAGAAAATTTATGGCTAATTTAATATAATCTGTTTCTAGATTTACAGGCAACTGCATGCACATGTTATTTTAAGCTAAACAGACCAATTGGAAAACAGTGCATAATTTCTCCAAGATATGTAGTAATGTGATTAAAATGGCGATTCAATAAGCCAATAATTTGATCATGGAAGCATGGAAATGACTTTAAGATGTATGCAGGAAGTTTAAATTGTCAAAAATCACGGGCTGTTGTCAATACCAAAGTTGAAAATTATGAGATGAATTTTTAGATAAACTAGCAAGACTGACCTTGAATCAAAATTACTCATAAATTCAACGTATTTCACCATCCCGTTATCATCCACTGGAACTTTCTTCAAAAGACTTTTAAAAACTTCCTCACTAAGCTCGATTTTGAATTTGCTTTCTATGACTGCACGAAACTGTTTGTCTGACAACTTCATGGTGTTGTCTCGATCCAGTTTGCTGGAAGATATGAAAGAAGTCTCTTTACAATGTCTTATACTTTGGGGCTACACTGGGGCCTTTTTGTAGCTATAGGAACAGAATTACTTTTCTCTTTATGGAGGTGCCTGTTTGTGGAAAGTTACTTAGATAATGCTTTGACAGACATCAGTAAATAGATTTTTGGACAAAATTATTTGTTTCTTGCTTTTTTGATGTCAACTTTCGGGACGTTTAAGTTGCTTGAGAGTTCAATGTTTCTTAACTAACTGCCACATGAAAGAATTTATCAGCGAACACAAGGTTAATGATAAAGGCAAGGCATATTTTTAAGGGGATATAGTAAACAAACTTATCTAAAGACCATAATTTTCATACATATTTTCAAACAGTATGTCTACAGTATATCAATGAAAAGCACACATGTGTAAGATTACGTAAACAATATTGTAAAGCAGAGATGTATACGCTTTTCTCATCCAGTTAATTGCCTTAAAGTCAAATAAGCAATTATGAATATTTTTATTTGTGTTAATCGATAATAGGGGCTGTTTGAATTAATTTTCTTCAAATCTATATAAAAATATATAGAATAAACAATGAACCAAAAAATAACAAGTAACAATTGCTCTTAATTCGTTTAATTTTATTAAAAATTCAAACGTTGAATATCTTTTTTGTCGGACACTAAGAAAAATAAAAATGAGCAGACTCTACCCAGTTACAATGAAAAACGTTGAAGAGTATCTTGATGGCTATTAATTAAAATCATATAGGTGAGCTGCATACGCTTTTGTGCATAGAACAGGACAGTTCTAAATTGCAGCACTGAGTTTCACGCTTAAAGCAACCCTTATGGTAGAATCTCAACTTTGAATTACTATGATAGTGGCAATATATAACTTCAATATTTCAATTTTGAGAAAATAACTCGGAGTGATTTGCTTAGTAATAAATATCTGCATTCACGGTTACAATCAAGTGATGTATACATACTGAAATGAGCCTAATAGTGACAAAAACTGGGTCTGGAAAAGTTCCATCAGTTTTGATTCGGCTGTTACAGTATCCTTTAAGGCCTCGTTTTCATACATATCATTGTTGTACCTAAAAATAAATAGCATGCATTTAAGTTATTCTGTTCACACTGCGACGTCACAGAAAAACATATGTTGATCACTGAGTGTAATAGGCAAATTGAGTGACCATAAGGTATAGTTATGGGTGGAGGAAAGCATTTCCGGGCATCCTATCTGCTCATTTGGGTTTCAAAACTGACATTCGAAGACAATGGGATGTCACTTTGAAATTTTGACATCACATTTTTACCTTTTGATATGTGAAATTACCTATCTGATACGACTGAAATGTTCTGAACAACATCCGGAAAAGCAAAATCCATGCATTAGATAATCTATCGCTAGAAAAGAAGATTTTAACAAACTAGAATTAAGATGCTTAATCCAAATTGGGAGAAGGATCATGTTTTACTGGGTTTCGAATTCGAAGAGAGCGTTCTTGAGCACAGGCGACAGATGATTCACTGATATATCAAACAAACTCCCTGGAATGTATGACATAATTTAATAGAGTAGTGACTGTTAAATCTACATTCTGAATTTACAGCATTTTAATATAGCTGTAACTTAATTTGAATTTATAGGCAATGTACTATAGGACTGGCATTATTAGTCAGTAATCCTTCTGAAAAATTATCTTTTACGTCAAAATTATCTTTTACCTGATTCAAGAAGAGCTAAAGATTGTTGTCAGTGCTTACTTGTGATTGGGGTCGTTAAGAATCTTGTGTGCCATGCCACTTTCACTTCTGTCTTGGTATCTCTGTATAAACTTCTTGTAGTCAATCATCCCAGTGCTTGATAAGTTACACCTTGAAACAAAAATATTAAGGTCCACCATCAGTTTTTTCAAGGGAGATTTCTTGAAAATGACTCTCAGCATAGATTTATATTGAACACTTAAACGGAGGATAAATAAAAAACTTTATGCAATTTAGTTTCTAAAAAAAGTTGAAGAAGTTGATATAAAAATTCTTATTTTTCAAGGAATGCAATTGACTCCAAAGTAAGCTCCAATTAATTTCACGCTTCCAATACATTATTTCTCCTCACACTGAATTCTAAAACTGAACTGCAGAGGTTTTTGGTTTATAGCTATACCCATGAAATACGGCATTCAAGTAGAAGTATTGAAAAATGAATAATCACAAGCATTTTAAATCAACGCTTATAAAGCGATCTAGTTTCATTACAAGGAGCTGTAGAATCATAGAATTACTCATTCTCATGTTACTTTGAGTCAGTTCACAAAGATCCCAGGCTCAATAAAATAAAACTGCTTGGATAAAATAGAATTATCCATTAAGACAGGGATCAAACATCAATGCAGTTATGCTCTCTTTAAATAGAAGAGGGCTCTACCTTTCCAGAAGCTCGCTTAGTTGTTGGTCATCGAGTTCTATATTGTAATCTGCAAGCACACGTTTGAGCTGGGCCTTTGATACAAGGCCCCTTCTCTCCAAGTCCATCTCATAGAAGGCATGTAGCATTTCTCTGGCACCCTCTCTAAATTTGTTAGTCATCCATTTCTCTATATCAAAACTCTCTTTTTCATCATCGATATTTTCTGGTGATATACTTCTTCGACTCTTCGTACTGCTTTGGCTTGTTCTTGGTCTGTTATTCTCTGTTATTGAAATGCCAAGCTTTGTAAGTATTTTCTCTCCATTAACAGCTCCAACGTTCTCTGTATCAAACCTCGTCCATAGCTTATCGTATTCATCGTCCTCCATGTGAAAACCAAGCACACTTATTGCGTTTCTAAACTCTGGTTTAAGAATACGTTTGGTACCACCAGGGTTTTTCTGAGGCACTATGGCAGCCATATCTTCAAATCTACGAGAGAAGATGTTTTGAATGCTATTAATTGTTATACCTATGTTAGACGAAGTAAAACACGATTTTTATTCAGGAATCTCTAGCACAAATTACTGAGCAAAGAAGAACACATCAGCTCGTTAGTAACTGTGATGTAAACGAACGAAATTTTTTACAAATTTGTCAAGAAAGGAACAATTTACGGAATCTTTTGACTGGCCATAGCAAAATGCTAAGTTGGAAAAAGCTATCGTAAAAAGGCAGATAAAATTTAACAAAAAAGCAAACTTTCTCGATACATTGAAAATGTACTTAAATGCTTCACTACCTTTGCTTTGCTTTTTCTTTCAAGTGCATGTACACTTGAGAAGCGTTCATGGTTGTCTTTGCTTTTCTCTGCAATTCTAACCAAGTTGGATATTCATTGCTATCACCCTTGATGACAAAAAGAAAAATTATAACTTAATCTATCGTTTAAGTAATCTGCTCTTAGCTTTATCTTAGTGAGTATAAATCGAGCTCGGCTGCCATTGCTTCTGCCTGAATGTAACAAATTATCAACTGACAGTGTTAGCTTTCAATGATGATATAGTTAAATCCAATAAATTAATTTTTTCCCCGTGATAACTCAGATATTCGATAAGTCGGAGTGATTTTCATTTCCCATTGAATTTTCCTGCCCTATTCAAGTCAAAAGTTGTACCTCTGAAAGGCTATACGTTCGCTAGGCTAGACCCTTTCCTTACACCCCTTGAAGGTCAAACTTAATGGTATTCAACTCATCAATTGTAAATAAATGTTTCGTTATCTTAATGACACACATTTAGTGAATAAATCCACTTTGCTTTTACATTTCAAACTCATTAAAACCACTATATTAGCAAATATTGAATATGTCAGTTGGAAAAAGTGGAAAAAAGAATAATTAAATGTAAAACCTGAGTTGGTTTGAAACAGGCGTAAAATTGTTCAAAAGCAATGATCTTCTTCTGTTCTAAGTGCAACCTGCAAATTGGATACAAACAAACCTTCAACAGAACCAGTTTATCAAATATTTTTCCATAAAACAGTTACCTTGAGAGAAAATCCACCACGAGATTCGTACAGACATTCTATGACAGGGCCAAGGGAGGCTCTCGCAAAATTTCTTAACAAAACACAAAAACAAAAAGTAGGAAATGGCTATTTCTAGGCATTATAAGGGCCTCCACCCGTGGTGAGTTCCCAGCTCTACATCTCTGGGTAAAATCTCTAGAAAAATATTATACGACTGTATTGTTTGACCCTAAAATATCACCCACAAGGCACAGAGGGTCTGGACCAGTGCGTTGGACATATTTGCCATTGATAATTAAGCACGGACTATATTTAAACTATCAAGGGAGTCCTGTACTAATAAACACAGGGGTGTAATGCTGACGGGGCTCAGATCGACTATGTCCCCTTGTTTGATAATGCCAAAATAGATAAAATTTTACATCTTATTGTTAGAAAATATTTGAGAGATTGTTTCTTGTTTCTCTTTCTGTCTAACCAAATAATGTATTCTGAAAGGCAACATGGTCATGCAAATAAACTTTTCTCAATCATATATCCAAGTAAAGTGTATGTTTGCAAAGTTCTTTTACCTTGTCATTAGTTTGTTGAATTGACTTAGGTTTATGATGAGGCCAACAAAGTTTGAAATTATCCTTGAAAGCGATTCCCTGCAATATAAGAATAGCATGACTCAGTTGCAGTGACGTAGATAGAGGGGGTGAGAGTCCCCCCCTGAAAATATAAACAGCTATTTTGTCGGAAAACTGTTGATCTTGTCGGAAATATAACATGCTTGTCTATTTTTTATCTTAGTGTTAGCTTTGAGTGGAAAGATTTTAAAGCCAAATATAACGATGTATTCCGTTGTTCTGAATCAGATTGGCAATCTCATTCGATAAGGTATCGCACATATATAGCCAGAAAACTTTCAAGTAGTAGGGCTTTCTGTCCGATTTTAATTCAGTTCTAATGTCGTATATTGTGTTCAAATTTATAAAAAACTAGAATTTTAAAACTGATTGGTTTAAAATAATAGAAGTTGACACCAGTAATGGAACAATGGGGCTCCACTTAATTCTCCAAAAAATTGATAAAAATTCAATGGTTAGAGTTGGTTATGTTGTTTTTAACATTTGCTTTCGAAAAACACATATGATGTAAAGAACTTAAGTGATTCAAAAGGGCGTGGTCCCGGGGGTCGCGCCTACTGCCCTGCCACTTTGGCTAAAACTGCAGCTTTGGCTGTTTGTTCTCAAAAATAAATTTCAAAGAAACAAAATAATTAGGGACTTTCTCTCCATATTGTTGCTAACCAATGGGAAAGTGAAGGGAACATTTCATTCCTTCATACAGAAGGGATTATGTTAACCCTAAAAACCTGAATGAACAAAACAGATCTTTTTCTTAATTCAGTTCTTTATTACATTTTATTCTACATTTTAGGTCTCTGTCTTCAATTTGCCATTTTACTTTGTAGCATTGGTGATTCCATTGGCTTTCAGAAAATGTAAATTAAAAAGGTAATGATTTGATGTTGCCTACATTTTGGGGAAAAAGCTAAGGGAAACATTAAAATATTTTAATAGAAGGTACAAACCTATCCACATTTCCTTTTCCTTCAGGGTCATAGGATTTAAATGCATTCTTTATGGTAAAGTAACCAGTTTTCATTTTCTCTCTAAGTGTTCTCTCAAGCTTTGGAAGAGAATTAGCAGACTATTAAAAGCTGTGTTCCATTATGGCAAATTTATAATAACACTAAAAATGGAAAGTGATAAAAATCAAAGGAAAAAAGCATTGACTTCTCAAGTTCTGTCACTGGCTCTCGGTTTTAAGCATAATCTAATTTACACTTTTCCTAATTCAGGGAAATTTTACCGTATTTTCATTGACAACAAGAATGACATGAGTTGGCTGTTTTTTATACCTGTAGGGCTTATTAGATTGATGATACAGCAATAAATTATCACACAGAACTCAAAACCGTTATACAATTCTCAATACATTTAGATGTTTCCAAAAGTTGACAAAACCCTTATCAAAAAGAACAAATAAGATTTTGAGGTTGATGGTTATTAAATGTGCTTCTCATTCAATTGCAAACATGGATTTTCTTTAAAGCAAAATTTCATGAACTTCACAGAGTTGTGCAATCCATGACCATGCGCTTGCAAAGTGAGAAAAACAACTCTCAAAATAACTTGATTTACATATTCTAAAAAACCCTGATTTGATTTAAAACACTTCATTCATCTCAGTCGAAGATTCTATCAAAAGTGAAGAAACTCTTTCAGTTGAGCAACAGTTGTTATGAAATATTAATACACCAAAGAACAGCTGTATCCTTCAATTTGAGAAGCATTTAGAATTTTATGATGCAATTGAACAAACAGCGTGTAAGGAAGTCAAACTTTTTACTGTAGAAAAACTAATAGTTGCAGTGCCATTATTTTTAGACATAATGTATGACCTGCAGAGGATAAATATCAATAAAAAGAAAGGCCACACCAATAAATCTGTAGGATTTAGAAACAATAGCGCCACAAGAAACTACCAAGTGAGAAACAGATTTTCAAAGTCATCTTTCAAAATATCAGTTCTAGTCTTTAATATTAATGATTCTTAAATGGACAGAGGAGGTTGGAGAAAAACAGAATGTTAGCCAAAGAACCTAGCAAAACAGTTTGGTAGGGCTATAGGTTTCTACAGGAACATGCAGAAAAAGACATCTTTATAGTTCTAGACTTTATGCTTTTGAAAAACTGATGTTGTGAGGAACAGTAGTAAGTAAGAGAATGGCAAAATACACGAAAAGTCATCAGGTGAATAATGGACCTAAAAGAAATTTGGAATGTTAGGGAAATTTTGAATTATCTGCTGTGTGTGCTCATCTCTTGTTTGCTTCTCTGCCTTTACAAAAGATTTTCATATGCCTAACCTACATGGAGACCATATTTATGCATTTTGAAAGGTTTTATGATCAATTCTTGAAAATTTCTGATCTGCTTTAATTTGACAGAAACACCCTGCACCAATTTTTACATAAATGCACATTGAAAATGGGTTTTTTACGAAATAGCCAATTTTACTTGAAATCCAGAAGAATTAGGATCACTTGCCAGCCATCAATAACTAAAATTTGGGAGAATTATTGTTCATTTGGTTCAAAATATTATTTCACTCCTAGACTCCACCTTTATATCCGGGAGACTTGGCTAGTATGACTAATAGACATGAGCAGGTAATTACCTCATCAGTGGAAACTCTCCCAGTTGCTATTGTAGTGCTTGTGCTTGGTCTTGAGTTTCTTGGACTGCTCATATCAGCAGACTTGCCTTCAAAACATGAATCGTTGTCAAAAACAGACAAAGCAAGATATCTTGAAATCTGCATTATCTGCTTCAGATCAGGGGCATTGGGAGTGAAATAAATTGCAGTGGGGGAGGGGGGTTGGCCTTAGTGCACTATCATTTTCACAACAGAGTCTTAAGCTTAAATAAATGAATGCTGTAACAGATTGCAGTTTCTCCTTTAGAAATTTGGCTCCAATGGCAATTGTACAGACTTGTTCTTAAAGAAAATGAAAATATAAGCAAAGATAATAATTTATGACTTGCCTAGCTTTCAATGCTAGGTGTGGTGATAGAAACGTATTGGATCTCAAACTATTTTAGCTAGTACAAAAAGGTCAAAAAGGGATAAATCCCTTTCAATGTTTATCTAAGTGGAACAAAATGCATGATTCAATGACAAATTTTGAAGGAAATGAACTTCAGACCACTGGTATTAAATAATATACATATAGTTAATAATCAGTTAAACAGGAAAAGTGATTTCTTACCAAGAATGGGTATAGTTGTTTTATTTCTGTCATCAGTAACTTTGATTTCTTGGTTTTCTCCAAGTGGGGGCAACGCACTATGTCTAGGGGAGCGTAAACTTCTAAAGGGCATCTGATCAGCAGTGATTGATCTGAGGACAGTTGGAGAATTCTGTTGGAGGTCATCGCCAAATCTGGTATTACTTTGTCTTGAAACACCCCTCACGTTAATGGTTGCAGGGTCGTCAATACGAGAAGAAGGATGGGCTACTTTTATCATCGGCAGAGCTACACCGTTCTTGGAAGGGGGCCTCTCTATTGCAGAGTGCAGTCTTGGGCTGGCCACAGACATTTTGAAATTTGCTTTATATTGCTACGAAAATATGAAATTATTGATTGAATTAGCTTGTAAATCACAAACGCATCAAGATTAACCAACTGCATGATGAGTCTAACTGCTCGAGATGCTCAGACCAGAAATGGGGAGATAAATTAAATTGTAAAGAAAACATTTGTCAACCCGGTAATGCTTTTACGGTAATATGATAAACTTCTGATCATGATATTATCAGCATCACGAACCTTGTTAATACAATGTTCCATTTATCAACGTACAATGCATTGCTAAATTTCTAAAATGTGCTTCACAAAAATTACAAGTTTTGTTTAAAAATAATCCAGATGAACCTATTTTCGTATCATCATAGAACAAAAAAGCGTAGAATTCAAAAACCACTTTTTAATTATTTAAATGACTGTGTGTTATCATAATCAAACGTTCATTTTATAAGAGTTTTTTCTATAAGAGTCTTCGACCTACCTACCGTTTGTTTTAAAATGCACCAATTTCGAAACGATACAACTTCAAATCATGGTCATAATAAAGTAGTGTGTGTTGAAATGCTGGTTTCCAAGTGACAAAGTTGCTATGCAACAAGATCAAAGAGCAAAGCACAAAAGATGACGTTTTTATTGTGTCACAACAATGGATATGAATACATGTGACAAAAGAACATCTGGACTCTAACCATGTCCCTCCGCAGAGGCCATAAAAGGAGGACACGATTGGGCCGCGCTGAAGACTGAAAAATAAAGTTTTATTATATATAACAATATTTTCGTGAATAGGTTTTAAAATATATAATCAAACACATTTTTAAAGCATATGAAGAGGAACAAATTCACTAGAAGCCCCGAATTTCTTTCTGGATACTTAATAAAAATCATTCCAAACTCCATTAATTTTGACCCTTAATACGAAATTGAATCAAAAATGTCTTGAAACTAAAAACAGTTCCATTCAGAGGTTTATTGCTATCAAAGTAAAAGGGAGAATCTTGTAAAAAATGACACAAAAAGATAGAAAACGTGGAAATTGGCTACTTTTCGGTATCAACAAGGGGGCATAGGATCAATATTCTTAAAAATTGGATGATTCTAAAGAGTGTACTGCCACGCTGCTACCTTGCAAGAACTTTTCGGTGAATGATAACCGTAAAAATTGCTTTTCAAAAGTAATGCACCCAACTTAAAAATGCTTCCTACGTTCCGTGTCACAGTTGAAATAAAAAATACTTTCTACGTTCTCAAAAGGCAAGCGGCACTGATTGGTCAACCTCAACAGGCATGTACTCGTGTTTCTGATTGGCCTATTTCGATCCACAACTGGGTATATATATTTCCTAGCGTAGAGTTTTCGATCTATGTTCTGACGTTCTATACTCTGAAGAGTGTCAGACGAAAAGCTTTAGTTTACTAAATGTTTGCTTTTTTCAAAGCCATTTTCAAGTTTTGTACCAACAAAAGATTGCTTCCCACGTTCCGTGTCACAGTTGAAATATCCTCCCAAACCTCGAAATATTTTATGAAACATGTACTAGCTACTAGCTACTAAAATGCGAGGTCTGAAAGGTCCTTAAGGCCTGTATGATGTCATCATACTATACAACCTTGGGAAACTTTACCCAACAGGACTACAACACCACTTTAAATGAGACCTACCATAAACTTCCTCCATAGTCCTCCTCTTTTTTCATGCTCATAGAATTTACAAAACACTGCTACAAATACAGTACTATACAGTATATGCAGTACAAATACAAATATACACTCTTTTTTATAAGAACCAGTAAATTTAAGTCCAGGTTGACTGTTCTTAATTTTTTCGAAAATCTGAGGCTGGATTGTTCTCAATTTGTTCTTAAATTAAGAGGGTGTAAGCAGTGCTATTGCTAGCTTTTTCGCTCTAAGGAGGTGTTCAGGCCTCATTTGCCAACAAAGTGAGTGAGACAGCCTTAATTTGCTGACAAATTTGAATATTCACTGAAAATGCACCCACACATCGCTAGAAATCCTCGATTTTGAGAAAAAACGTTGTTCAAATTTGCATTTTGCAGAAGCTCAGCCTCAGCTTGTTCTTAATTTGTTCTTAACGTTTGACCAGTTTTGAGGCTCGTGTTCTTATAAAATTGTTCTTATAAAAAAAGAGTGTAGTTCATAACAACCCTGTGGGCATTCACAATTATCTCAAAGTCTGTTCCAAAGATGATGCAAGGCGAAACAACAAGGGAGGGTAAATATATGTCAGGCAAGATACCCAGGAAGGTTGAGTCCTCCTCTAAATAAGAGTTTATAACATTCTTGCCTTCTCTTCTGTTCCATTCATTGGTTCAACATAAAATAATCGATTTTCGAAACGTTTATGAAGGCGTTCCAGATAATTTTATGTTGAAAATAGAAATAACTTACAGAAAATGTTTCGCTTCTTAACTCACCGAAACTTTTCACGTTTTCATCGAAATTCACAACAAAATTTGAAAAAAATATGAGCAAAATTCTTTCCACCGAAAATTAATACGCCGAAATTGTTGGCACAGGATCTTTTGGTACTAAGTGTATGAGTACGTCACAGAATGCTCCGCATTAATTTGCTCTGAAAAACAACGATATATTTCTATGCTTACCCATTGACATAAAGCTCCAAAAAGACGTTTGTTTGAGAAATTTGCTAGTAAAACAAAAAATTTTCGCTTTTCCACGCTATTTTTGATTTTTTACAACCATAACCCCAATATCAAAAAACAAAACATGCTACAAAAAAGAGTTCACAACACATTAACGCATTTAATCGCTATGATGAGAAACGGGGAACGATTCATTTACAGGTTCTTAAGGTTTAAACGATGTTAAAACTGGTACTTCAGTTCAAGAGAATAACTAACAGTATTTTGCCAATATACCAGTAAAGTGTATAAATAAATGAGGACCAAAGTCTATTGACTACCAAACGAATACTTGCATTTCTTGGCCTGTTATATGAAAAATTTACAAGTAATAATTGTGATAAGTTGATACGAATTGTTCAGCTCAAATATGGTTAAAATGTTTACAATAGTAATATGGAATGCATACAACAAAAATGGTAATGAAGTAATACATGAAGTAAAAGAGAAAATCTATGAATTTTGCTTTTGAGGGGCGATGACTTTGGTTTCGTCATAAGAGAAATAATATCGTGAGGGGATTCAATGAAGATAAAATAAATTGCAAAGTATTTCCTTGATGATAACGGAAATTTTAAATTTTCAAAATCGCATTTCATGACAAGTATTTTCTTTAACAAAGTCAGCAACTTAAAAAGGGCAGGATTTTTTGTAGCGGTGTTTGAAAAACGCGCATCTTTCAATTAATTGCGTATTGACTGCTCGTAAACATTGATAATTTTTTATGGGGACAAAGAATGACCATAGGTCCCTTGTAATGACATATGTTGACGTGCCCTATGCTACATTGAAAAAAATTGGATTTAGGCCATTCAATATTTTATACAAAATAAAGATATAGAACGCTTAGTTGCGCCCCAAATTTCCATTGTTGCTAGGAAATTTGATTCACTCATCAGTTATAATACAAAACAAGAACAAAAATGATATATCCTATTTCTAATCTTTACCTTTTAAAAAGTAATTAGTTTACTGTAATACTAGACAATTAGTTTTTTTCTATACAAACTGTTTTTTATTAACAAGCGGCTGCAACTGACTTTCATATGAAAATTGTCGCACATGATCCAGAATTAACTTTCGATGCTCCAAATGAACATGAAACTGCGATAAACGCCAGTGGATATGCTACCAAAAACCCAGATTAAAAGCGATGCTTGATAAATGTTAAGGATTGAAAGCACGCAAAAAGCAATTAGACAAAATGCAGGGTACATCCAGAAGCAAATAAATTTTTAGGCCAAGATGTCACGTCATTGATGGTACTCAAGAAAACCAAATCGAAAAACCAAAGGTTAAATCGATATCTCAATCTATTTTTATTAATTTACTGAAAATCTAAACAATTAGTTTTTCCAAATTGACATTGTCAAATTTATTATGCAACTAAAATCTCGAATGTACCCACATAATGACAATGCTAGTTAGTCCGGATTTATGCCGCTGGGTTTTACCTGAGTTAATTAAACCGGATTGAGCCTAGGTGGGTTTGTTATAAACAGGGCTTCAGAAAACAGAAGGACGTGATTGGCCAACATCAAACCAATCAGGTGCGCCCCTTTCCTGTGAATTTATTTGATTCACAACTTAGTATTAACTACGTCACCACTTAGCAATAAGCCAAAGTCATATGGTCTTACAAGGGTTTGTCAAAATCAATTTTTAGTCATAGATTTAAATTTTTCATCGCTTTATGCTACTCAGATATTTTTGAATGGTAAATTAAAAAAAGGAGGTAAAATTGGAAGTATTTTATGAGCGTCTAGAAGGCTATTTTTCTTCATATTCAGTGTATGAAACATAAGGTGGTGGTCAAGAATGTTTTTCTCCATTAATATTTTACTTTCTGGTGTGGACTCTGCAACTATATTTTGTGTTTATGGGCATCGATTGGTTAAACAAAAGAGTCAACCTCAACAACCATATCTAACCATTTTCGAACCGCCACTGGGTGAAAAACGTTAGTTTACCCTTTCGTAATTATGGGACGTTTCAAGGAGTATCGATAAACTTTGAAATTCTCTATCCCTGAAACATCTGAACTATCTAAAAACAGCTACAGGAAAGGATATGATTCCCATTCTAATTCCTGTTTCATGACACCGGATAAAACGAGTTCCACATTGTAGACTTCTGAAATACAAGAAAAAGAAAACATTTCATACTCGTTTTTTTCTTTCGCATAAGAGAATCATACATTTTTGCGAAAACTGTTATGCAAAACAAGGCTTTTGACCTAGAAGAGAATATTTTATTGATTCTATGTTAAGCATAAAAAAATTCTGGGCAAAAATTTTAATTCCATGTGGGTCTTGAACGACACATACCAAACTTTGCTAGAAAAAGATTTTTCATTCATATAAACTACAAGCCTAACTTATGTATTGATTTTTGGTGTTGCTACGATGGAAGTTGACTAACAGACTACAAAATCAGACCTAAAAATGATAAGGAATCGCAATACTGCAAATAACTCTTTTCTAAAGTGCAACATACCGTGCCCCTCTTTGTGCAAGGGCTCCCATAAACCTCGGTCTTCTTCACACGTCACAACATAGCTGTTTTCTTTTTTCTGAGAAGAGGAAGATCAAGTCAGAGAACAGATGTAAATATGAACCACACTTCGCAGAAGGAAGTGCTACATCGTATTTACAAATTACCAACAACTTCTTCTGTGGTTATATTATGAAGAAAAGCAAGCAATAGATGGTTTAAATTCTTAACTTATATTATCTTTAAGGCGTTGTTTCATTTATTCACATTTTGTTATCTTAGTATTAGGAGCATGATAGATCAGTCAAAGAAAACTAAAGTTGGTGAATTTTTTCTTACGGTTCAATTCAAACTCTACCGAGATCTATAGAAAAATTTAAAATCTAATAACTAATAAAATCTATTGAAAAAATTCGAAATTGCAGTAAATACCTTGATTTTACTCTCAAGAAACTGGGCAAATGCAGATTCGCCATCTTTTAGTTCAACCATCTGAAAAAAGTTTAAAGAGAAGATTATCAAAGATATTACCATCTGAAAAGTCAACCAGTTCAACCATCTGAAAAAAGTTTAAAGAGAAGATTATCAAAGATAAATATTCAGAGTAATTGGGGGCAACAATGCAAAGAACTTTCTAAAATTCATCAATCGTAAACAAAGGGGCGAGTTACAGATCGCTGCCATTCCGCTCCATCTTTTAGAAATTTTGGTAACAAGGTTCAAAATAAAATCATTTTCTGAGCTATAGAGAAGATTTTGATGTGACAATGTTATTAAATGAAGACCTGAAGACTTGGAAAGTGGGAAAGAAAATACCTCGCCTCCTGCACATTCTATAATTTCTTTCATTGGACCGGGAGCCGGTGTTATTTTGGGAGTGACAAAAAATTTGAGACCCTGAAAAGAAACAAGACCAATGTATAGCGACAAGGAATAACAATTATTCTTAAAGACTGAAATCTTCACGCTTTATAAAACTACGCCAGTTACAGAGAAGCACATCTACGAATCGAAAAACTCTTGATGGATATCACATGTGCACTAAATAAAATTATCCTCCGACATTTTTGCTCGCATCAAAAGTTTAAGGTTCTAAGATTAAAAGGTACAAGAAGCTTCTAAGCACCTGGAAAACTTTTCGAGTGCGAGATCTTTGCATCGATACATCAAGTTTAAAACCAAAATATTCTTCGGATTCTGGATCTTTCAAGGAATATTCCGCCTCATCTGAAAATAAATAAAATATCATTCTCTGAGCAACTAGGAAACGAAATTAGTTCCCGTTACTGGTAACGATAACAGCCTGTACTGATTTCAGAAACAACTCAATCCATATAGAAGAGCCCTGTGGTGTAAAAGTTTGCTTCGGGAATGCAATATTTAGCTAACTGTTGTGTGCTACTGTAGATAGACATGATCGTTGAAACAATCTGCTACTTAAGACTTCTGCTAGCTCCTAAGAAAGGACATTTGATCTAACAAATTGTCTATGTAATTTTAGAACAAAAAGTTCTACAAACAAAAAGATTTTCGTAAATATATTTCCGTAAAAGGCACCTTTTTTGCCAGTAAAAGTTAAAAAACATACCTAGCAGGGACCCAACTTTGTTGCTCTCCTCGATCCAAGACGGTGTGACAATATGATTTACGACAGAAATGGCTGACAGAAATTTCACTGTCCTAGTGATCTGTTTGATAGAAAAGAACATGGTTTAATTCAATAAAAAGATTGGTGGGGATAGCATTAGTATTTTGAAAGGAGAATAATCTTCAAATCTAACAATCAAGCAGAGAGAGTTTCTCTGTCGAGCTACTGAGCTGTATAGCACCGAGTTTCTGTTTAATATACGAAAACATTCTAAAACTGACTACTTTGGTTAGATCCGTAATGACTATGGAAAAAGAGTTAAGCAAATACCAAAAGTTTCTGTTCCATAAAAGAATATGCAACATGTAGAATTGGTTTTCTTCCATAGACAGTCCTACCAATTGCCATGTCAAAATATCTCAAGCAAAAGTAATGGGCAAAAGAATCTTTTGAATGAGGAACACATAATGCTTATGGCGAGGCTCGCATTGTTATTGCTTGTCAAAAAGAATCGTAAGACCATGCAAATGAAGTTAATTAAGAAACCCTCTTCTACTTCCCAATCATACTGCGTTATAGGCAATGAAGAGCATTTAATACCTTAGGAGCGATGAGATGTGTACAGTTCTTGACACCTTTGGCGATTTCTCCTTTCATTTTCTTCAACATCTGTTTGGAATAACGAAACATAGATAAAAGGATAATTTTATCAGCATCACTGCCAAAAATAGTTGAAAGACCAAAATTTTCACGTTCTAAAGTTGACAACCCCAAAATTTAACTACCATTCCAAGTTATCAAAGGTGTTGTTATGTTTTCCCCCTCACCCTTCCCCCGTATTATGCTGATTCCCTCGTAAGAAGTGTAAATGTGTTAAACCCTTGTTAGATATTTACTGACAAACATGCAATATTGATGTTCAGCAAGATTTTAATGGGGCGGGGGAGGGAGAGAGGAAGGGAGAGAGTGAGGGAGGGAGAGAGGG